TGACAGGGGGGAGCTCCCCAACCCCCTGATTGGCCCTGCTCTGTGCGTGACAGGGGGTGGCGCCGCAACCTCCCCATCGACCCTGCCTTGAGTGTGACAGGGGGCGGGGCCCCAACCCCCCAATCGGCCCTACCCTGAGCGTGACTGAGGGTGGCATCGCAACCTCCCAATCCGCCCTGCTCTGTGCATGACAGGGGGCGGCGCCCCAACTCCCCAATCAGCCCTGTTCTGAGCCTGACCAGGGGCTGCACCTAGGGATTGGGCCTGCCCTCTGCCACCCAGGAGCAGGCCTAAGCCAGCAGGTCGTTATCTCCCCAGACTGCGAGAGGGCACAGGCCGGGCTGAGGGACCCTCTCCTTCCCCCCCGAGTGCACAAATTTTTGTGCACCGGGCCTCTAGTAAGTAATAAACAAGAATAAACTGTTTCACATACAGCTGTAAACCTATTTTTGCTGACCTATGTGTCGTTATGAAGCTTATATTATGAGTCTTATATTTCTAATATGATGTCTATTTTATATTCGTTCTTTCCCTTGATATTAAATAGACTGCAAATCTTTATAACCATAGGAAGGTGAAAACTGGAAAAAAAATGTTTTTTACTCTGCATTTTATATGGTGTCCAATAAAGACATTGTTCTAACTATCTGTGTTATAATTACTAGGAAGGATTCTTAAAAATCACAAGATGATATTTAAATTTTTTTAAAATAATTAATTATGTAGTGTTAAAAAATAGAACTCCCTTATTTAACTTTTACAATTTAATGTTGTTCAGTCCCTATTTAGACCTAGCACCCAGAATCTCCACTCTGATTTGAGAAAGAGGCATAAACTAAAAGTTTTACTTCTATGAATTCTTGTTTTTGGTAAGCAGGAATTTTCTCACATTGGTTAGATGAAGTCTAATCAAATGTGAATGTCACCGTGTATATTTTTATTCCTTTAGATAGTATGTTACATAACGGTAGGGACTATGTCTTGTTTTTTGTTTTGTTTTTTGTTTTTGCTCACCATTATATGTATACATATTTTAGCATGCAGAAAACTCTAAGAGAAAGATAATATTACATGAGCAATAGTGCAAGTTATATGAACCTCTTTCTATAAAATAATGATGACAAAATCTTCTGAGTATGTACATATGTCTATGTGCCTGTGTGTTTAAGTAGAGAGAAAAATAAGGAATGACACAGTAGTTTGTCACTGAGAGTGCACCTGTCAGGGGAAAGGAGAAAAAAAAGAAAGCACCGAAAATATGTAAAACTGACATCACAAATCATGATTATGGTGGAAAGTTATCTTTGAATCATGTAAATAATGCATCACTTAAGAACTATCTCAAATGAAGAAACTAAAAGGAAATCAAAAGCATAAGATATATTAATTAATATGGTATTTTCATTTTAGAAGAAAAACAGCTAATAGGTAAAAACAATATGGTTTCACACAGGGATAAGTCCTCTGAAAATGTTCGGATTTGGGTAATAGATAGGGAAGATAATCTTGAGGTCAGGAAAGCCACAGGGCTCCATGTGATTATCTGGAGAGTGGTGTGGAGGAGAGAGGAAGAGCTGTGCCCTAGAGCTCTCCAGCATTCTGAGATTAGGATGTGGGAAGGAACGCACAGAGGTGAGCGAGGGAGAGGCCCACCAGGAAACAAAGGGTGTGTTTTCCTTTAAAGTCAATGTTGAAGATGAGAAATAAGGTCTGACCAATGAATCAGGCAACACGAAGACTGCTGGTGATATTCACAAAAGCAAGTAAAGTAGAGGGGTGAGGATGAGTCTACCTGAGATGAGCACCCCTGCCAACTCCCCCCCCCCAAAAAAAAAGTAGAGGTGAGGAAGTGGAGATGCTGAGGCCACTCTTTCAATGCGTTTCATTGTGAAGTGTGTTATGGGGAGGTGCCGAGAAATGCAATGAATGGAAGGACAAAATGGGATCCGCAGGGCTTTCTAAAGAGGATGTTCATTATATCATGTTTATATGATCATGGAAAACCTGTGATGCAGGAGAAAGAAGAGATGATTTCAAGAGGAAACTCAATGAGGAGTATGAGGAAAAGGCATTTAAACTATAAGGAAAGGCTTAGGCTTAGGTTGGAGAAGAAACAATTAGATATTGTTTATCCCTGAGGCACACATCCATGTATGATGAGAAAGGGCTCTCTCCGCAGAGCACATAATACTGGAAGGTGTTCCACTACATTTTATTAAAATCAGTGTAGATTTAAATCACACCCGCTGTCCCTAGCCTAAGACCCACAACTGGAAGTTCCAATCGAGAAAACCATGAATTTACACCATGACATTTTCTTGTTATTTAAATTCTCCAAAGTTATAGACTAAACCAGATAATAGTATAAACACATAAAATACATGAACAAGTATTAATAGCGAGAAATACATATATATTTTTCAGTTATTCTATTATCCCAGTGAAATGTAATTTCCATTCAAAATCCAACTCTGAACAAGTCTGCATATATTAGAAGAAAAGAGACAGTTCATACCTAAACCAGAGCTTCATTCTTAGAGAGTGCCCATATAGATGTGTCCTTCCTACTACTCTAGCTATTCTACTCTGTGGCGAATGAGATGCAATTTTAAACGCACTGATCAATGCACTCCTAACTTACGCCAACAAACATCGGCATCTTTTAAACTCATCTGAAGTGTGAAAAAGAAACCCCCTGCCTTTTGTTGGATGTTTTATATGCTTAAAACTAGAGCTTTCTTAAACCTTGACAATACAAGCCCAACGCTAATAGCAGATAGAAATTCAGCAACACATATTTTGCAACCAGTGTTTCTTTTCTTTTTTTTTTAATTGATTTCAAAGAGGAAAGGAGAGGGCGAGGGAGATAGAAACATCAATGATGAGAACCACTGATTGGCTGCCTCCTGCACGCCCCACACTGGGGATTGAGCCCGCAACCTTGGCATGTGCCCTGATGGGGAATCAAACCGTGACCTCCTGGTTCATAGGTCAATGCTCAACCACTGAGCCACACCGGTCTGGTGCAAGGAAATATTTTTATTTCCCTTCTACAGATGTAGGCACAAAACTCTATGGTCACAGAAAATTCACGTAAACTCATTACAAGAATAAAAAACCGATGTTGAGTAAAATTGGCCAGTTTCCTTCTACTTATAACTCTTAATTTTAATTCATAATTACCCAAGTAATACATTTACTTACATGTTTAACTTCAAACTTACAAAGACAAAAATCTACAAAGATAGTTTTTAAAGATCTCTGAAAATATTAGACCTTAAGTGTCTTAACTACCAAGTCTACTTTCTCTGCATATCCAGCTTTCTTTCTGTCAAGAACAATGGGGTGATTCAGGAATCTTCAATGGGCCAAGGAAAGTAAGAGATCACCATGGGGAAGGGGGTCCATGGGGGAAAAGTGGGACATCTGTAATGCTTTCAACAATCAAGATAAATTTTTTTAAAAAGACACCATGATCTTTCTTCCCTGTACAGCTGAGTAAAGGAGCTCAATTTCCCAGCAAAAATCGTCTTACCCAGCAAAATCACTCCGGTAAAATCATCTTTTTATGTCAACCGTTTTTAGTTACCACCTTGTCTTTAGTGAAATGAAAACTCCAAATTAACCATATGATCATGTTTAAACTCTTAATTTAGTCAGAAGAATGAAGGCCCGAGAAACCACAGCTAGAAACCCAGAGTAGTTCAGGGAGCAGACCATGGGCAAGCTTGGACTTTTACAACTAACATCTGTTTCGAAATCAGTCTAACTCCCAAGTTTTGAGCAAGGTACTTGAACCCCAAAATAATAAAGTGGATAATACAACCTGAGAACACAGAAAAGTCCCCTCAGAAACAGATAACGAGTTGACACAAGAGTAAGAGGCAGTTGCGTGACTACATTCTGACTCCGTTGTTGTTGTTGCTTTTTGCGTGGGTGTGTGTGGTTCAACTTCAAGGGCTTACCATCCTGCTGGCCTTGAAGAGCCTGGGGACTCTGCACTCTTTCCTCAAGATTGGAGCTGAGATCAGAGTTCACAGCCGACATCCGCGTGGAATCGCTCATATCAAATTCGTCACTTTCTATTGAGCTCTCATCCTGCAAATGATTTCAAAACATCATCAGCAAGATTACAATATTATACATTGACATAGTGACCATTTTATCAGTAGGGTCAATTAGAGTTTAGTCAGTCCTTTTACAGAACTCAGTGAAATACGTTACACATTAATAGATACTTGAAATAACAAATAATGGAATAATTTCTCCTGTTAAGGAATTGCAAGACTTGTGAAGATGCAAGCAATGTATCTATGTACGGGCAGATTTATAAGGTAAAATAATGTGTTTGGTCCGGCCGGTGTTGCTCAGTGGTTGAGCCTGGACCTATGAATCAGGAGATCATCGTTCAATGCCCAGGTTGTGGCTTGATCCCCAGTGTGGGGCGTACAGGAGGCAGCCAATCAATGATCCTCTCTCATCATTGATGTTACTATCTCTCTCCTCCTCCTTTCCCCTCTGAAATCAATAAAAATATATTTTAAAAACAAGGAAATAAAATTATATGTTTAGGGAGGATAGAGTTGGGGATTTATTCTGAATTACAAAAGAATGGATTTTTTTAAATTAGCATAAAACTTCCTAAAGAGTCAATCACAAAACATAGCATAAAGAGAAATACGTTTTGATTTTAAAAATGACCTAATAAAATATGATAAGCAAAAATCTTAGATTGCAATTAAAATAAAAAACCAAAATATCTTAACCAAAAACTACTCATTGGCAAACAGGAAGTGGACTCTAGTAATAGACAAACTTGCATGCCAGATTCAAAGGCCGCGTTGCTGGGAGCAAGACAGCCTAGCACATCCGTCCCTTCCTTACAAGGGAATATACATGGCACTGCAACCACAAAGCGGAGGTCTAGGTGAAGTGTGAAAGATGCACATACCAAAAGCCAGTTCACCAAATGGCTCAATTAGCCAAAGGCTAGTTTGCCAAATGGCCAATTCATCAAAACCTGTCCAGTATTAAACAACCTCTAAAACAGTTCACAGTAGACATTGCACTGAAGGAAACCCCTTTTGGAGAATTGGCTTTTGGACAAATGGTGTGCTTATGTAGACAGGAAGGCCTGGGAAACCTGTGTAAAATATTTCATTGAAATCACTAGGTTTGACTCTCAGATGTAAATGTCTGATGTGAAAGTTTCACATTACTATAATAACTAATAGTAGCAGAGCTGCTCTGTATGTTGTAAACACCATTCTTTATATTTGTTCACTCACTTCATCTTCATCACAACTATGAGTTGGGCACCAGGATTCATCCAATTTTATAGACTGAGAAATTGAGGAACAGAGCAGGCAAAATGCTGTCAATTTATTTACTGTTTATCTCCTTCATCTACAAGAGTATCAGTTACATAGAAGGTACTCAATAAATATTGAATTTATCATAATTTAAATACAACTGATCAGAAAAGACCATCTCACATGAATGTCATTTTAACATGATTTAACTTCCTTAATGACCTTTCTATCTTTCAATAGTTACAACTGATAAAATTTTTAAATAATCTCATTTATCTGCATATTTTTTAAGACAATGTACATCTAATTTGGCACTTCAAAATTTAAGGATAAGATTTTTTTTTCCTCATCTAGTTATAAATTTGAAAGAATCCAATTCCTTTGTGTGAAATACTTATGATTTTTTAGAAGCCAGAAGGGATCAGCATAGGTGAGGTTTATTGTTGGTACAAAGTTGATCTTCTTACTTTATGGCCTAGAAATAAACATGTCAACATCTAAATGAGCTTTCTACAAACACTTGGACAGCTCTAACTAGTTAATGAGATTGAAAATATTTTTTCAATTATGTGATGAATCATGGGAATCATTTTTTCCAATCTCAGGATGGGTTGACATTGATATTTTATTAATTGTTGCTCATGACTTTAACCCAATAATTTTATTATAATTTATTTAATCATTTACATAGAGCCATCTGGTAATACGGAATCTGACACTACTGTTGCAGTTAATCCAGATATTCTTATAGAGTGTACCTGTGTAGTCTTTGAGATAAAACAATTTTTTAAATATAGTTTTGAAATTAAATCTGCTCAGATAAAGAAAACCAAAAATTTAATTTGAATTTTATAAAGTTAGCTCAACAAAGTAATTTTAAAAGAATGCAATAATACTTCACCAAATAATGCTATATTTGAAGAATAAATATTTAATCATATTCTTATTACAGTGAAATTTCAAAGAAGAGAGAATGTATTAGCCTGAGAAATTATTCCGAATATAGATAATCTAAATATGTTTATCCGTTAATGGCTACTAACTAGTTAATAAGGACTTACTAGGCCCATATTGTATGTCTTTTGGGAAATATGCACAGGGTATATATACAACTTGGTCCCTGCCTTTGAGATACTTCAACTAAACTGGGGAGTTAATTAGCATTCTAGAGAGTATGCAACAAGTGCACATTTTGTCTCTAATACATGCCAACAAGAACATTGCAAGATTGTTACTATACAAATTAAGTAGAATAATTTGAAACTTCAAAACACCTCTAATAAGAAGAATCACTACAAATTGTCTCTAGAAAATGCATAGAAGTAGACAAATACATAGAATGGTCAGGTGAGATATAACTTTAAAATATATGCAAGATTTGCCCTAGCCAGCTTGCTCAGTGGATAGAGTGTCAAAGAATTAAAAAATAAATAAAATATATGCGAGATTTGGATGGTAGAGAAATAACTATATTTGAAATACTTATTAAGTTAACTTTTCTGATTTCCAGACAAAGTAGCCTTAGTGCTAAAGGCTTGGACACTCATTCATTTGGGATACTTCCCCTGAAGTTTCTAGCACTTTACCACGGCGAGCTCCATGGAGCTCATTAAGGAAAATGAACCTTCTTGGGAATGAACAAATTCCCACCTGGCGCTAAGGCAGGTTTGTTAAAACAGGGAATCTCCATGGTCTTCGTCCGTGCAATCCTGGTGACCTGCCTTTCATTAAGAAATAAACTACCATCTTCGACCTGCCATGGCGCTCAATAAGACAGTCATGGTTATCCAACGCCATTCCGACTTGTGATCACAGACATGGGGGTTTCCGCGTTACCTCATCTTGCTGTGAGCTGAGCAGCTGCAGTTTCATGTGCTTCATGTAGGCCATGGTGATCGGCATGTTGTAGTCAATCATGCTGGTCACCAAAGTGGGAGGCTTCCCATTATCTGCAAGGAAACACAGTGAATGGGTAACGAACGGGCCCTGCATTCCACCTGCACTTTCAGAACAACTCTACTTGCTCACCTGGAAATAAGACCCCAGAGAGCAAGTGTTTAGGAGACTGCAAGCGTCAGAGATGAATTGTAAAATAACTGGAGTCTCTTTAAAGGTGTCGTGCGACAAATTCGCACTATAGGTAAACTAGTTATTTCTAACTTCGGGGGGGGCTTTTGCTATCCTGGGTAATAATGAGTGAAGGTGGTATACTAATTAAGCACAATTACTTGTACGTTTGCATTTCTCTCTTTTGCTGTAAACTTACTTTATCTATGTACTCGCTCTTTTGTGTGTGTTTTTTGCCAGTCTACTTATTCATCCTCGAATAACCTAGCCTAAATGTATATTTGAGATTAATTTCATCTGAGAATTGTATAGATTAGGAAAATAAGCCTAGCTATGTTTTAAGGAAAGCTAAAGCCTGATTACAATTTGTTTGTAAGAATTTCCAACGAAGGGGCTCCATACTACTCATCACTTAGAAATAAGGAGCTGGCAGGTTTAAAAGGACACCAAAGGAACTTCCCTTTCCTTGCGAATATGTCTAAACTGCCACCAAATACACACCGTACGTGAATGTTAAAGCATTATTTTAGAAAAAATTGTTTTTCACAGTCAACGCTGTCTTTATTCTGAGAGCGGGCACTGAACTGCCCTGTAGGTCGATACTCAAAGCTCCCTGCGTCCCACTGGACTAGATGAGATGAGGTACTTGTCCAACTGCTTCAGTCCACCACGTTCCCATTAGAACGTGAGGTGCAGGTGGCCATTGTGAATAAAACCCCTTTCAAGCTCACTATCTGACCCCGCGCTACCTTTGTGATCGGTTCCGTCGGGGTTTAAGTGCATTCTTTTCTGGCACTCGGAGCAGCTCATGAGGAACCGCGTCACCGCCTCTCTGGGTAGGAAGGCATAGCTCTCTGAAATCTGCAAGGGTACACAAAAGAGGAGTGTGAGCACGCAGGCCAACCCGGCGCGACTCGACAGAGATGATCACTGTATTCCCAAATAAGACGCATTATTCCATAGCGGCAGGGAGCACAATGGAAGCATGCACTGCGTACCATGCATCATTTCCAGAAATATCTATCCAGCTCAGTTGCTGTCTCGTAATCATAGTTAATAACGTGACGTGGAGGGAAAAACCACCACATCGGAATGGATATCTGTTTACGTTTCTCCATTTCTTTTAGTAAGAACAATCACAGTGTACAGATGTTCTTGTGACTTTTCCTTAGTAAAAATTGCCAACACTGTTTTTAAAAGTTACAGCTAGCATCAGCAAAATTTTATCCAATTGCACATATATATTTTAAAATTTTGCCCCAAGTAGAAACAATAAACTTTGAATTTTGCATTAATAAGCATTTCTTCATTATTGCTTTTCATAATATTGTCAGTGAAAATAAAGAGAATGCTCACCGTCCTCATGTATATATTCACGGCAGTGAATCATCCCATCCACAGAAAATGACACACTTGGAAATGCATCTGGCCACCTATTTTGTTACTTTATCTGTTTTTTATCATGTTTGTCCCCAATAGCTCCCAGTGCCAGAGCAAGCTTTCCCTCCACCCTGCACAGAGCTACTGTTGCCAGATCTATGATCTAGAGCCAAGTTAGACATCAATTCTCCTGTCATGTTTTTAAATATTAACTTTCCAAAAACCAACCTAGTTCTCTCGTCAAAGCAAAGAATTTCTGAAGTGAAACGGATAGACTGTTCATTATTCCTAAACAAAAGTTAATGCTGACTCAGTGCTACTAAGAAGTCAGATACAAGGCACTAGTTTTCCGCCACGGCACTAGCACTGGTGCATGAAATATGAGATAACCAGACAGCAAGTAAATAAGACGCAAATTAGGCGCAAATGCCACAGACAATGTCTCAGTTGCATAATGACTGTTGTGAACACTACTATATTTTAAGTTTGTAGAAAGGAAAAAAAATATGCACCTCATGTATCATTGAATACAATTCCATTAATGGTGACGAGGTTAATTTCTGCTTCTCCACGCTGCAGAAGCCCAGCACTGGGAGACCCTGCATGTTCAGATCTAGAATTGGAAGCCGTATTTTCCCTGAACTTAACATTCAAACCAGCTTGTGTCACTTAGCCTGTCCCATGGACTCTCAGGGAAAGAAGCCATGAGCACGACAGAGAGAGAGGGATGAGTCTATAATTAGAATCTACCAGGGATGATCTGTATACAGGTAATTACATTTCAACTTTACTAGGATCGGAAGTATGAAACTCTGATTTGTAATATGATTATCATTTGTAAATCAAGAGGTCCAGCTTTAAAAAAAAATGTCTTCATATTATATAAGAAAATGTGGAAGAAAAGGCAGAAAAATTTGGAAGTATTTCATCAAACTATTTCATGTTAGCTATCCTAATATATAAAAAGCCAGGGGCCATCACGACCGAAACAACCGGACAGACGACCGAATGCTGTGTGGGGC